TGTATCTGCAACCTTGCTGAACTCATTAGTTCTAATGGTTTTTTAGTAGATTCCTTAGATTCTTGTATATATCCTATATACACAACCATGCCATTTGCAAATAGAGATAGTTTTTTTTTTACTTTCCAATAGGAATGCCTTTTATTTTATTTTTTTGCCTAACTGACTTGGCATGCACCTCCACTGCAATACAAAATAGAAGTGGTGAGAAAATACATCCTTGTCTTGTTCTTATCTGGGGGGAAAAGCATTCAGTCATTCACTATTAATCATGAAGTTAGCTGTGGATTTGCCTTTGTTCTTGAGAGACAGCTTTGAAAACATAATTCTAAGTTGACAGTTATTTTCATTCAATACATGAAAGGTATTATTCCACTGTTTTCTGGTTTCCTTTTGCTACTAAGAAACCAAATCTCAGTTTCTTTATCACTCATATGTAGATGATCTGTCTCAGCTCTCTGGATACTTTTAAGACCTTCTGTTTGTCTTTGGTGATATGCAATTTTATGATGGTGTGTTTCGGGGGTTTCTTTTATATTTTTCTGCTAGAATTTATTAGGTTTCCTGGATCTGAGGACTTGTGTGTTTCAATAGTTTTAGGAAATTCACAGCTATTATCTCTTCAAATATTGTTTTCCTACCCATTTTCTTTATTACATACCTCTAGAACTTCAATTAGGTATATGTCAGACCTCATGCTATTCTCCATATATCAACTTTTCTTTATGTCTACCACCTTCTTATAGTTCTATGCTATATCTGTGTAACTCTTATTTTGGTTCAATCTTCCAGTTTATTAATTCTCTCTCCAGCAACATCTGATCTGTTATTTAATTCATACTTTGAGTTTTTAATTTCAAACACTATATATTTTTTATTCCTATAGGTTTTTTTTTCTTTTTCAAATATGCTTTGCTATTTCTTATAGTTTGTTTTTCCTCACTCATATTTTCTAGCTTCCCTTACTTGTTTATACATAGTGAATGTAGTTATTATATACTGTCAGAAGATTCCAATATATGAAGTTTTTTTAATTGTACTTCAGGTGAAGGTTTACAGAACAAATAGTTTCTCATTAAACAGTAGTACACATATTGTTTTATGACATTGGTTAACAACCCCACGACATGTCAACCCTCTCCCTTCTCGACCTTTTTTTTTTGGGGGGGAAATATACATAGCCAAACATACACCATTTCAAAAATTTCTACATGCAGAGTTCAGTGACATCAACTACGCTCTTCCAATTGTGCTGCTATTCTCACTTTAGATAAAGGTTTACAGAACAAAATAGTTTCTCATTAAACAGTTAGTACACATGTTGTCCTATGACAATGGTTAACAACCTCACTACACATCAACACTGTCCTTACTCAACCTTGGGTTTCCTATCACCAGCTTTCCTGTCCCCTTCTGCCTTCTAGCCCTTGTCCCTGGATTGCTGTGCCTCATTAGTCCTGTTTTGTTTTATGGGGCTGTCCAATCCCCAGCTGAACGGTGAACCTCGGAAGTGACTTCACCACTGAGCTAAAAGGGTGTCTGGGGGCCATAATCTTGGGGTTTCTCTAGTTTCCTTTAGGCTAGTAAATCTGGTCTTTTTTGTGTGTGTTAGAATTTTGTTCTATATCCTTCTCCAGCTCTGTCCAGAACCATCTGTTGTGATCCCGGTCAGAGCAGTCAGTGGTGGTAGCTGGGCACCATCTAGCTGTACTGGACTCAGTCTGGTGGAGGCCTTGGTAGCTGTGGTCCATTAGTCCTTTGGACTAATCTTTTCCTTGTATCCTGTCTCTTCATTTTCCCTTGCTCCCGAAGGGATGAGACCAGTGGAGTATCTTAGATGGCTGCTCACAGGCTTTTAAGACCCCAGACGCTACTCACCAAAGTAGAATGTAGAAATATTTATAAACTGTGTTGTGCCTATTGAGCTAGATGTTCCCAAGACCATGGTCCCCACAGCCCTCCACCCAGCAATTCAGTCCCTCAGGGAGTTTGGATATGTCTATGGAGCTTCCATGACCTTTCCTTGTACAAGTTGTGCTGGTTTCTCCAGTATTGTGTACTGTCTCACCTTCACCAAAGATACCACTTATCTAATATATGAAGTTTTTGAGGCTCTAATTCTGCTCTCCATTGTTTCTGCAGACTTTCAATCCATTGTGCTTTGTGGTTTCGTTTTTGTTTTGACTGTGAGTTGCTCATTTTCCTAATACTCTTTTCTGTGGGAATTCTTTAAGGCCTGGAGTAAAGTTGAGTTTTTCCAAAGAGGATTATTATATGTTTCTGCCATTTGCCAAGTGAGGGATCATTTGCTTTTAAATTCTCTGCTTGACTTTTTTTTTTTATTTGTTTGTTTGCACCAAATACGTAGCGTAGATATAGTCTATGAATCCATCTAAAGAATGGGTTATGGGTACATATTCTCATACAAGTTTTATTCTCCTCTACCCAATGCCAAAAAAGTTGAGACTGGCAAGTTTTCTTGCTGTTTTTTTCTGCATAGCTAGTTTATTTCTTATCTATCTCTACACTGAGAGCAAGATTTGGACATGGGTCTCAGCTTTATACAGGGGTCTACTCTCAGATTCCCACTTTGGTTAGGCTATAGGCCTTGCCTCCTGTTTTCCATGATCCATGTAGCCATCAAGGTAAAAGTTTAAGGTCTCCAGAATTTAACATAAATCATCAAGATGAAAGCTTGCATAGTCAGTCACTCTAGGATTCCTGCTTTTATTTTTGTTTTTGACCTCTGCAGTTTCCTTCTTTTCATGCTAGTGCAGTAGTGCATGTTAAAAGACTTGTAAAAAATATTTTATAGAGAATTTTAGACTTTTCAAATGATAAGGCTATTTAGGGTAACTAATTTTCATACTGCTGGAAACAAAAATTCTCTAATTTGTTTTCCTTCTGGGCAAGCTGACTTTGAAAATATGCAAGGAAAAAAATAGTCTATTTTTTTTCTTATAAGTCTCCATTGAAAGAAATTCTACAACCTCCCTGTAGTAGATTGTCAAAATGGTCACAAATTCTTTCTCCCTCAGCATTCACACCTTTGAAATGTGTTGCTGCAGATCTGACCATCAAAAGGCAGTCTATTTCCCCATAACCTTTAATCTGGGTTGGCCACTTGACTTGTTTTGGCCAGTGGGACATTAACAAGTATGACACAAGCTAAAGCTTGAAAAGCACTTGTTTATTGAAGCTTGCTCACTTATTGTACTTGGAACTCTGAGACCATCATGTGAATGAACCCAAGCTACACTACTGGAGGATGAGAAGCCATGTGGAAAGACTAGGTCAACAGCCTGTCAATTATTGTTGGCTGACCCACCAGCTAAATGCATAATATCATGACAAGGTCACTAGAGATCACCAGGACCAGCTCAAACTGCAAGAACTGTCCAGTCAAATGAGAGAATTATGAGCTAAATAAACAATTTTTTTAAAGCTATTAAGTTTTGGCTTAAGCAAAAGGTAACTGATATATCCCCTTAAGAATATAATTTTGAGTCTTAACCCAAACCGCCTTGTAACAATCTTACTCTCTTTATCCCTTGTTCTGCCTCAATTTTGGGGATGTAAAAATGGTGACTCACCAAGATACCAAGATACCCATACAAATCAATTTGCACTAAAGGGGCTTATGAATTCTCAATGTAAAATTTAAATCCTAGCAATTATAGTATATTCCATACATGCTTAGATAAACACATTGGGGAGATGAATATATAGTTTATTTTCTCACTGAAGAGTCCAGTTAGACAATGAGAAAAGAAGTCCAGGATTTTCTCAGTAGCAGGGAGAGTCAATCTCAGATACATGAGACTGAGGGTAGAAGCTGTTACTAATATGAAAAATCTGGGGGTTTCAATTGACCTTAAATTCAGTATCAGTCAACGGTATGAAGTGGTTCTTCAGGAAGTCAATTCAATATTAGTTACATTAACAGAAATGTCTTCTGTATTTGTCAGTACCTGAGAACTGTTATCTGCTTTGGGCAACATGCTTTAAGAAGGATAATGACAAACTAGAATAGGTTGAAGAGGAAGACTCCAGGGGGATGACACAAGCAGAAATCATTTCAGATGAGGCTCAGTTTGAGGAACTGCTATATAGTTTGGGGAAGACCTGACTACAAATATCTGAAGGGCAGTCATAGGGAAAAGCAGATTCAAAGTACTCGTCAAACTTGATAACAGGTGGAAATTACAGGTTTAGATCAAACATTTTCTAAACCCACAGGGCAATTCAACATCAGTGGCTGCTCTGTGGAGTGGGGAAGCCGAGAAGAAGTTCAAGAAGTGGAAGCTGGAGAGGTATTTGTCAGGAAAATTGTGGAAGGGAGTGTTTCTCTGCCTGGGCCAGAGGCCTCTTGGGGCTCTTTAAGCTGAGTCCCTCTGGCTTCCTGCTGCCACTTATCCTTCCTCTTTAGGAACTCTTAGCTTGGTTGAGTCTGGGACTCTATAAATAAGCCACAGGGAAACTGTAATGATTAGAAGTGACCCAACATCCATTTGGTCCCAAATTACAAACCTTACTAAAGTCACAATGTATCTTCTCCCCTGTTAACCTTAATCTTTGAGGATTGTGACACTGTTGTAGAATAGGTGCTCATCTCAAAGCCACACTAAATTTTAGCCAAGACAGCTTGTTCTTTCTTTAACTCTCATATTGATTTATAGGCACAAACCAGGAGTCTTTTTAGATGTAAAAGTTAAGCTTGCAGGGTTGACTTTTTCCCTCTGAGTCAGTACCTACCACTCTGAGATCACCAGGCTCCCTGTCGCCCTCAATATCCCAATGCCTACCTCACTCTAACCTCCCTCTTCACTCCACACTGCTTAAGGGAGAATTCTCATAAGAAGGAGCTCAGGAAAGTCTCTTTAGGCCTTTATAGATATCTCCACACTGCCTCTGTTTTTTCTTTCTGTCCCTGTGGCATGTCCTGGGGTGGGAGCATGGCCAGTAATCTGAGCAGGCAGTTTGAAACTGAGACCTCCTACCTTGACAGGTGAAGCATCTGATGTGGAAGTGGTTGTTGTGGACGCGAACAACTTCACCTTTGCATGTGTCTCCACATCGGTAGCATTGGATGACACTGGAGCTGCCCCGGGGATTGTAAGGGTTCTGCTGATAAGGTACTGCAGAAAGAAATGAAGAGATTAGCATCCAGAGGGGTCTAATTATTTAAAAAGTGTGCCATAAACTCTCACCATAATCTTGACCGAAAGAAAAAGCAGCAAGGGTGGAAATGATTAGCAAAGTACAATCAATACATCATCAGGTTGAGTATGCCACGCTAAGACAGCATTAAAAGGTGAGTGGTGTGAAGTTGTGAGTCCATATCCTCCTCGAGCAGGCAGAAACCTACGAGTGGGCATAATCTTTTCTTGCAACAATAGCGGTCAAATTTATGAATGAAAAAAAACAAAAGAGGAAGCAGAGCAGAGATGGGACTGTACTTATTTAAAAGTAAATGATCCAGAAATACTATTTCTTGGGTGATCTCTGGATCAAAATCAGGCACCAAACTTCTCAAAGGGAATTTGGGTCTTGCAGATTACTCATGGATCTCAAAGACATGGTGGCTGACCCTGTCTCCAACCAACCTTTGAGTTGAGAAAGTATGTTCCTCCTCTGGGTCTCAGTTTTCACATCTTTAAAATAAGGGTGGTCAACGGTAACGTGGACTTCCTACAAAAGATGCACTAAGGGAGGTCCTCTGGTTAAAGGAGGCTGACTAGGGAACTCATCTGAAGGCTGCGCTTGAATAGCACTTCCCATAAGACTGAGAAAATGTCAAGTGTGTATAATTAAGAAAAAGGGTTTGGTGGAGATTATGAAGGTGCTGAAGTGACTGGGGGTTAGAATGTGGTGGTCAGCACTTGATGATGTCCAACAGCTCTACTAGCCTATTGATCCTATTATCCTCTTGCTAAAACCCTCTCATGGCTACTTTTTCTAGATCTCCTTTATGATGTAATTTGCTTGGTCTTTCTAAATTCTGGTCATCTGGCATTTAATAATAATAGTCACCTGCTGAGAACACAAAGTCTCAGAGTTGGGAGGATACTAGCAGCTGTCTGGTCCACCCTCATTATGAGGCTGGGATAGCTTTGCCAGTGAAGAACCAAATCTCTTGTAGGCAACTCAGAGTGGCACTGGAGAGCGAATCATTCAGCTCCTCAATTCTCACTCAAATTTGAAGTAAAAGTCCAAAATCTTCTGCTCATACCCTGTTAGAAGAAGGCTCACTTTTGTCCTGGCCATTAAGTCAACCACTTGATTGAAAGGAAACTTGGTATCTACCACTTATATACATAGCCTTACTACCTAAATTCTGAATAAGCATATAAGTTAACTTGGAGCCCTGGTGGCGCAAGTGGTTAATAGCTTGGCTGCTAACCAAAAGGCTGGCAGTTCGAATCCACCAGCTGCTCCTTGGAAACCCTACAGGGAAGTTCTACTCTGTCCTGTATGGTGGCTAGGAGCAGAATTCACTCGACGGCAATGGTTTTTTTTTTTTTTTTTTTTTGCCTTGGGCTTATAGAAACCTTGCAGAACTTAGATAACCTAGTTCAGGGGTTCTTGACCTAGTGTGGCAGTTATTATCTGTTCATAGAAATTTGGATCTTTTCTTCCAGGCACAAGAAGATTGCACAGAGTGACTTGCTTGGCTGATGAAATGTGAATTGTAATTGTGTATGCCACTTCCAATTGGAAGCCTTACAAGCCAGTATTTGATCTGCCATATTGCCTTTCCCCTAACCCAGTAACTAGTGTGCCCTAGCCGGTGTACAGAATTCATGAGCTTGGATCCCTGAGTGAGGAGTCATGGAGCAGAGCTTCCAGCTAACCCATGATGAAGACGTACCATGAACAAGATAAAAAGTTCGTTGTCATAAGGCTCTAAGGCTTTTTGTTACTGCAGCATAACCTATACTATCCTGACAGATACACCTGGGATCTGATAATTCTAAATAACTACAAAATTTGGTGTGTATGTGCCATTATCCTATAGTTTTCTTCAGATTCTCAAAGAGGTCTATGATCTCCACAACTGTCTCATTCACGCTATCCTCTTTTTAAAGATGAGGAACAGTAAAGCAGACCTTCCAACTATCTCCCACTTACAGCTATCCTGAACCACAAGTATGACGTAGGGCAGAAAGCTGGTTGCTTAACTCTGAAACTGTTGCTCCTGATAATTTTGCTGTCTGAGGTGGGAAAATAATATACTTCCCACCACCTTTCGCTCATGGAGTTGATACTCATTATTCAAATCTTTTTTTCCTGTCTTAAATTTAAGACAAAAATTAAATGTTTGCTAGTTAACTAAATCATTAACTGGTTAAATGGGTTAATACATGCAAAGCATTTCAAAAAGTGCATTAAGTGCTCCATAAATGTTCACTGGTATCATGACCATAAAATCATCCCCACAGATCAGAGCAACCCTTCCCCATCCCACAAAATGTCCATAAATATTCTCTTTGGTCTTGTCTCCTTCTCTTTCTGATTCCTGCTCAGTGTCCCTTGGAAAATAGTTCACTCTTACCCCTCCCCCCAATTTGTGAGAAATGTGTGGACCCTGTTTATATGAGCAGTGTAGTGATCTACCATTGTCAAGGGAAACAAAAGCCGTGAGTCTGAAAATAAAATAAGAATGAATAGTATAATCATCACCATCAATGGTGAGAGCTCTTGAAAGTATCCCAGAGTCCCTTCAGGATCACTGTACAATTTTTCATCTACCTCTTCTAATTAAACCTGTTTTTGCTCAAGAACCAACTTCCGAGACCAATTTGACTTTTTTCCTAATTTGATTTTTCTGGTGAAATGGATTTGTGAGCATGGTCCTCAGTCAAAACTCAGTCTTTGAGACACTTAGATAAAAAGGCTTAAAATCAGAGGGGATGGATTGAGAAGATAGGTTTCCTGGAGCAGAAGTCCTGCTGGGTCCCCAGGCTGCTTCCTCTTGGGGCAAGGATACTGCTTAGGTGATGCTGAGTATGGCTGGAGTTCCAGAAATGCTTGATGTTTGTAAATAGTCCCATACACAGAAATGCACGCATTGTTGGTAGGAGTTCTTCCAGACTACTGATGTAAACTGTGATTATAAAAGGGCAGTGTATAGCAAGATGTGAGCGTTCAGACGTGGCAAGACCTTTCTTTATCCAGATACTGTCAGCAGGAACTCTGGGCGATTGAGGGAAGCTAAGCTATGTTACATTTGCTCCAACTCTGGGAGCCACCTCATTTCCAATAAGATTTTGTATCTTGGGCTAATTTAATTAGAAACTTAATCTAACTTTATTTTTTTGTGTGTGTAGGTGTGTACAAGGATCTCTGGTGTACAAGGACCTTGGCTGCTAACCGAAAGGTTGGTGGTTGGAACCCACCAGCCACTCCACAGGAGAAAGATGTGGTAGTCTGCTTTCGTAAAGATTATAGTCTTTGGCAAAGTCATAGAAGCTTCAGAGACATATCCCAACTCCCTGAGACTCTGAGTTACTGGGCTGAGGGCTGGGATCTTGGTATCGGAGGACATCTAGCTCAACTGGCATAATATAGTTTATAAAGAAAATGTTCTACATCCAACTGTGTTGAGTAGCGTCTGCTGTCTTAAAAGCGTGCGAACAACCATCTAAGATACATCTACTGGTCCCATTCTGGCTAGAGCAAAGGAGAATGAAGAAAACCAAATACATAAGGGAAAGATTAGTCCAAAGGACTAATGGACCACAAATACCATAATCTCTGCCAGACTGAGCCCAGAACAACTAGAAGGTGCCTGGCTACCACCACCGACTGCTCTGACAGGGATCACAATACAGAGTGCCGGACAAAGCAGGAGAAAAATGTAGAACAAAACTCAAATTCACAAAAAAGACCAGACTTGCTGTTCTGACAGAGACGGGAGAAATTCCAAGAGTAAGGCCCCCAGACACTCTTTTAACTCAGTACTGAAGTCTCTCTCAAGGTTCCCTGTTCTGCCAAAAACTAGACAGTCTGTTGGTGCAGTGGGTGAAGTGATCGACTGCTAACTTAAGGTTGGTGGTTCAAAACCACCGGTGGCTCCATGGGAGAGAGATGTGGCAGTCTGCTTCGGTAAGATTTACATCCTTGGAAACTCTAGGAGGTCGCTATGAGTCAGAATCGACTTGACAGCAGTGGGTTTGGTTTTACAGGGCAAACAAGAACATACATGAGGAACATGCTTTGTAGTTCAATCATGTATACGAGACTAAATGGACACATCAGTCCAAAAGCAAAGACGAGAAGGCAGGAAGGGACAGGAAAACTGGACGAATGGAACCAGGGAACGTGGGGTGCCAACACGTTGCAGTGTTGGCAACCAATGTCAAAAAACGATTTGTGTATTAATTGTTTAATGAGAAAAATGAATTTGCTCTGTCAACTTTCACCTAAAGCACACACACACAAACACACACAGATTACAGCCTTGGAAACCCTCTGGGGCAGTTCTACTCCGTTCTATAGGGTCGCTATGGGTCAGAATCAACTCCATGGCAACGGGTTTGGTTTCGTAGGTGTGTACAATAACTCAAAAATCAAAGATGGTGCTGTTGAGTCAATTCCGACTCATAAGGACCCTATAGGACGGAGTAGAACTGCCCCCATAGGGTTTTCAAGGCTGTAAATCTTTATGCAAGCAGACTGCTACATCTTTTTCCTGCAGAGCAGCTGGTGGGTTCAAACCACCAACCTTTCCGTTAGCAGTCAAATGCTTAACCACTGCTCCACAAGGGCTCCTTAGGTGTGTACGGAGGAGTGTCATTTCTTCCCACCAATCCATAACCCACCTGAAACACTAAAATTTTATTGTTAATTTTCTGCTGCTGATTATTTCCACTATTTTTTTTTTAATCTCAAAAAGTACTGGGGTTCAGTCACATGATTTATAACATGTGTCTTATAGGCAAATGCTTTTTGAATTCCAAACTAACTTACACGTGAGTTTTTGAACTGCCTTATATATTAGGAACTGCCTTGAGAATAACCCTTAGAGCAGTCATAAGCCTCAAAGGACATTAGCTCTGTTCACTCAGGAAATAATCCATCAAGTTACAAAGTTTGGGCATATGAATCATGTAATATATTTCTAAAACACAGGCAG